TGCCACCAAAAATAAAATCACAAAAGCAAAAAAAAGCAAGAGGGAAGCTGCCTGGCTGTGCCGCGCCCCCTCAGCCCCCAACCCGGCCACCAGCCCTGACCTCCTGGCCTGACGGTGACTGAGGTGGGGGGGGAGGGGGAGCCGCTGGACACCTGCTTGCTGCCCAGTGGACTCAGCCCCCAGGTCTGTTGGCCTCTGGGACTTCACCCCCTCAGCCCACCTCAGCACCGTCTGGGCTCAGCCCAGCTCCATCAAGCTGTGTAAGCCTCCGCCTCGGTGTCCCTAGAACATGCCAGTGGTCATTCTGGGGGTGAAGGTGTGGCCCCAAGGGTTGGGTAGCGGGGAGCCAGTGAGGACAGGACAGCACTGGCAGCTGCCTGGCAAGTGGGACAAGAATGTGCCTCTTGATTGGTGGCTCCGTGGGAGCTGGGACCTCATCTTCACGGCTGATGCCATCTCCTCCCCCACGTGCCCCTCTGAGGGGGACCCAGGGGTACACAGAAGGCCAGACACGTGACAGTTCTCAGCACCAGAGGGGTGGCGAGGGCCAGACCCTGGCTTTCGGGCAGAGAGAAGGGAGGGGCCGTAGCTCCCCACGAGAAGCCCAGATGAAGATTAATGAGCCCCCTTAGAATACATGGAAAATGCGTGCCATTGATTTTAAGGATTATACTTGGCAGACCTCTAGATGTTTTCAAGTATGCAAAGCCCGCCCAGATAAGGAGAGAGGAAATGCTGCCCAGGAGTCAGAAGGGGACTTGTCAGCCTGCAGAGCCGCCTCGGCCTAACACGGGGGCCTTGTCTCCGCACCCCCAGCCAGAGTGGCGCCCTCCGGCAAGGCCCCTGAGCCCTCTCCTGTGTCTCTTCCCTGAGGGCTTGTGTCCGGCCCTGGGAACCCCCACAGAGGCTGCTCAAGGTCCCCATCAAATCATTACCCTCTTCAGCTTCTAGTCCAACCCGTCATGGAGTCTCTGACCCCGAACATCGTCCAGCCGCATTAACCCCTGTCCACTCGGCAACATGAGAAACTGGCCAGACACTTGCTGAAATCCACACTTTTCAGCCGAGGCGTCTTGGATACTCTAGATTTTTTAAAGATGTGAACTGGGTCCGCAGGTCCTCTGCTTGTTAGCAACATCACACTGGCACCCAGGGGCACGGACGCCTTGAGAGGCCCAGCAGGGCTGGGCAGCGGCCAGGGCCTGCACACGGACAGGCTTGTTAAAGTCTGTTTTCTAGGGCCCTCCCTGGTGGCGCAGTGGGTTAAAGTGCAGCACTGCCAGCGAGCCACAGCAACAGCGACTCTTCCTTTCAGGAAGGATCCTCTGTCGCGTGTGACGCTGTTCGATCGCATTTCTCACCCAGGGTGGAACTTCTTTCAAAACTGGCGTCGGTCCCCCCAAAGGGTTTGCTGCATGGCAGAGTCTAAGCGTCTGTCGGCGTCTCCGTGCTCGCGGCATCTTCTCCAGGAGGAGACCCCCTTGCAGGAAGCAGCGACCTTTGTCCCCACCCGTGAGGGGCGACTCCCCACCCGTGAGGGGCGACTCCCCACCCGTGAGGTGTCCCTGCGGGGCTCAGCCCAAGCTTCAGGTCCCACTTGCTGTTCTCCTGCTGTTTCCTCCCCATCTGCAGTTGCTTCCCCCAGGGTGGCCTTGAACCCCTCAAAGTCACCCATGAGGATGGGAATCAACCTCTTCCAAACTCCTGTTAATGCCAGTTGCCTTGACCTCTTCTCGTGGATCGTGAACGTTCTTAGGGGCATCTAGGGTGATGAATCCTTTCCGGGGCTTTTCGGTTTAGTTTGTCCGGGTCCGTCAGAGGCGTCACCACCCACGGCAGCTCTAGCCTTACGAAAAGCATTTCTTAAGTAGGAAGACCCGAAGGTCAGAATTACGCCTTGACCCACAGGCTGCAGAATGGATACTGCGTTAGCAGGCACGCCAACATCCGAACCCCCTTGCTTCTCCATGGTGGGTGACTGGGTGCATGGCCACTGAGCAGTGAGTGATCTTTAGAGAGGAATCTTTTCTGAGCCATCGGCCTACACATTGGGCTTCAGATACTCAGTAAACCACGCTGGACATGGCCGTGTTGTCATCTGGGCTTTGTTGTTCCATTTGCAGGTCACAGGCAGACTAGAGTCAGCAGCAGTCTTAGGGGCTGTGGGGATTTAGGAATGGCAAAAGAGCACAGGCTTCAGCTTCCAGTCACCAGCTGCTGTGGTCCTAGCAGGAGAGTCAGCCTGTCCTCTGAAGCTTTGAAGCCAGTCACTGACTTCTCCTCTGTTGCTATGAAAGTCCTTCACGGCATCTCCGTTTCAAGGATGATTTTGTTGATATCGAGAGTCTGACACTTAGCGTAGCCGCCTCTCTTCCCCGAAGCCTCGCGAGCCGACCTCCGCCAGGCCGGGACTTGTCTCCCCCACCTCCTCGCCTCTCTCCACCTTCCTGAAACTGGAGAGCGCTGGGCCCTGCTCTGCATCAGGCGTTGGCCCAGGGGACGCCGGGGCGGGTTTGGTCTGCCCACGCCGCCCACCGCACCGCCGCTTCTCCGTCTGCCATCAGCCGTGTCCGCGCTCCTGGCTCGCGAGCTGCACTCCCCGTCCCGAAGACCTGGTTCTCTGTGCCCGGGTGCTGCTGCCAGCGAGCAGCCTGGCTCCGCTCCCAGCTCGCCTCCGCGCTCCCAGCTCGTCCTCCTCGCTGTGGGTTGCAAGTGAGAGGCTGTATGTATGACTCTTCACTGGAACACATAGGGGCCACTGGAGGGGGTGAACTGACCGAATTTCAGTAATTTCAGTATTGTGTCTCGGACCGTGGGGCAGCGGCCGGTCCCAGGAACGGTGGGGCCCTCCCCGCGTCTCCCCATCAGCCAGCTCCGTCTGGCCCCACAGTGATGCCACTTCTGTTTTGTGTCAGCCTCCCCAGGCTGTGACTCCTGCACCCTGAGCCGGCCAGGCCCCACCTCCAGGGCGGCTCCCACGGCTCTGCCGTCCACCCTGCTCCTGCACAACGCTGCACCCTCGGGGTCGGGGGGCACCTTCCCACCTTCTCAGGACACACGTGCTCTCAGCAACCGTGACATACAGATGAAGACATCTGTCACCGCGAGAGGGAGCTCTTCCCGGGTCTTCTCAGAAACCCCTGAACACGAGGCAGAAAGCCCGATAAAGACTGAGGGTTGCGGCCAGCAGAGAGCCGCCCACTGGCCTTCAGTGGACACTGGCGAGCGTGGGACGCTGCGCCCGCAGGGTGGGTGGGAGAAGCCGCAGAGAGCAGGGGCGTGCAGAGGCCCTGGGGACTGAGTGGCCGTGGCTTCGGGCGTGACCGGGGAGGAGGGCGTGGCAGGAGGACCCCGTGGGCCGAGGGAGGCCGGTGACGGTGGGCAAGACCGCGCAGGGCCTTGGTGTGGAAGGAGAAGCAGACCGTTCCAGGTTTCTGCCTCGAGTCGCCGCTGCCTGTGCACCCTCAGAGGCCGGACCTCTGACCCCGGGCCCCGCGTGCCCACCCTGCTCCGGTGGGCGTGGGGGGAGTCAGGAGGCAGGGTGCTGTGGGGGTGTCGTGGCTCCCGGCCACGGGTGCTGACAGTCGGAGGCAGGACTAGGAAGCGGCTGGCAACCTCTCGGCACCTGTCCGGCTCCCGGAGGCTGTGACCGAGAAGGCCATCTCGCTCACCGGCCGTTCCCCGGTGGCCAGCGCCGGGCCCTCGGGCGGAGCAAAGTGTGGGCGCCTGCATGGGGTTACTGGGACCTTTCTCCTTCCTCTCCCTGGGGACGTCCCTGTCCCCTGCCCAACCTTTAGGCAGCTGCAGGAGGTGCGGCCTGGCCACTGGCGGCTCCAGAGGGGGCGGCGGGGCCTCCTGCAGGAGGAGGTTTCCTTCCTGCCCCCAGGTCTGGGTGTGGGCGCATCCTGCCCCCGGATTGCGTTCCCCCCTTACTTGCCTTTCTCCTGCTCATCTGCCATCTGCTCTTGCTGTCTTCCTTCTCAGGACTGAAATGCCCTGAAATGCCACCTACGTACCAGAGAAGTGGGGGGCAGCAAGCCTGGTCCTTCCAGGGGACCCACTCACGGGCTTCCATCACATCGCTCCTTCTTCCTAAACCACCATTTACTAGAAAACGCCCACTTTTGGGGTGAGGGCCCCAGACCCCTCGCACGGACGGTGGGGGCTGCAGGCCTGAGGGAAGGATGTCCCCGCTCCCAGCCCCCCATCTCAGAGACATCATGCAGGGAGCGCCCCAAGTCACGCACAGTGTCCAGGGCGACCTGTGGATGAGCCGCGGTTTCCAGGTGGCGTCAGAGCCCCCCGACTTAATGGTCCGTAACGACCTTGTCCTGGGGAAAGGACGCGCTCGCGGGCTGTCCAGGTGGTGACTCTCCCTGTGCGTGGGTCCCGCTGGCCTGGGGCCGTGGCAGGGAGGCCTGTGCGGAGGGACAGCGCCCCGGACACCCTTCTCCGAGCTTGTGTGTGTGTTGGGGCCCCATTCCCACCCTTCTCGCATCTGCTAAGCCCATGCAGCCTGCCCACCATGCCCTGGGTGACTGGGCCAGCAGGGAGGCCGGTCAGGCCGGCCACCGCCCTCCACGGGCCCTCTCCGGGGACAGGCAGCCTCGGAAGCCCCCAACACCCCCAGATCAAGCCCAGACTGCCTGACCCCACCACCTTCTCACTTCCAGCCCAGACCTTCCCCAGAGCAGCGGCCGGGAGCGAGGTCTGGCTCAGCTGGGAGCTGCTCATGGGCTCCTGGCTGCGCCCTGGCACACGCCAGCCCTCGGGCCCAGACTTGCAGGGCGGGCGGGCACTGGGCCCTCCACTCCCACAGCTCTCGGGCCGCCCCACTAGGCAGGGCAGGTGCATGGGGGGCGGGGGGGAGGTGCCACTCCACCCCGGCACCCCACTCCCCCTCGCACCCCGCTCGGGCATTCCCGCCCACTCACTGCCCAGTGGCCTCTCAAGTCCCTGAACTTGACGGTGTCTGCAAGTCTTTCCTTCCTTCTTTGCAGCGATGGACGGCGTGCCTTTCATGATTTCAGAGAAGTTCTCCTGCGTTCCGGAGAGCGTAAGTATGGCGGTGGTCGCCCTTGCCTTCTGCACCTCCCCAGCCCGCGCCCCCTGTGCCTCGATTCCCAGGGCGCTCAGGGGGCCCACAGTCTCACCCTGCCTGCCCCCAGCCCTGTCCTGCCCCATGGAAGTTCCGCCCGGGGCCCGAGGTGGGGTGGTCCTGCCCTCCTCAGCTGGGGCTCACCCGGGGGCTTTTCCGTCCAGACGGGGTGGCCCCTGGGCCCCACCGCCGGGTTCTGAGTGTCCCTGGCGTCTGAGCTCAGCCTAACCCGCGTGTCTCAACCTGTGGGTGCAGAGTGCCAGGTTCGGGGTGCGGGCAAGGTGGGAAGCCCTCCCCTCGCCCCTCCCCAGCTCACCCCTCACCGATCCCTCCAAACCCCCAGCAAGCCCAGCCCGGGCTGGCCCTGAACTTCCTTTCGTGGCGGGGGTCTGCGTGAACTGACTGCGCCCTGAAGGCCAGACCCATGAGGGGCGCCCACCGTGTGCAGCGTTGGAGCTGCGGGCTGTGGCTCAGCCGTCGGGGGCCCCTCGTCCCTCAGCAACTCGGGCCCCGCAGGCCTGTGTCTGGGGCTGTGAGTGTCTTCTTAGAGCCTCGCAGCTGAAGTTCGTTTGAGTAACGAATGGCCCAGCCTGGGCCCAGCCACAGGATCCCTCAGTGCTTTTCTTGGCTCCAGCTTAAAACCACCCAACGGTTTGCGATTTGACCTGCTCTGTAGTTTCCATTTTCATGAAATATAATAGGCCTCCTCTGAGCCCTTCTGGTAAGCAGCTTAATCTTGAAAAATGTCTGTGACGTGACACGCGGAGCATGAGTAACTTCGGCCCACTCGATGCTGCGTTGCCTTGGCGACGCTGGCGCCTCCACCCGCAACTGCTGGGCCCCCACACCCCGCACCCCGCGGGAAAGTTTAGTGGGGCAGTTAGAGCCCGAGGATGGGCAGCTGGACCTCCACCGGCCCAGCCCGGCCCGGGCAGGCGGCCGGCTCGGGCAGCTGGGCTGTGGCGGGAGAGGGCCAGACTGCCCCAGGAGCCGAGTCCCTCACTCGGTGGCCCGGTCCCAAGACCCCCCCCACCCCCATGTTCGCTGCCTGACTCTGCGAGGGCTCCAGGCACAGGGAGTCGGGCCCAGCCCAGGGCCAGCGTCTCCCGCCTTCCTCCTTTAATCCTCTGGCCTGCAGCCACCCAGCCGCGGCTTCTGGCTTCTGAGCGGGAGAGGAGATGCTGGCATGACCTCACCTGCCGTTGGCTGCACCCTGCGAGGTGCTGATCCGGGTTTGAATCCAGGTCCCTGGACTCCCGAGCCGGAGTCCCCAGCCCCGGCCCAGCTCAGCCCCTCAGCAGACTGGGCCTCACCTGTGCCTCCAGCCACCAGTTGCTGGCCTGGGTCCCCCGACACTGAACTGGTCGCTCTCCTGGGCCTCCAGAACATAAAAGTCCAGGGGGACCTCGGCCAGGCCCCCGCTCGTCAGCCGGACACTGCCTCTGTCTGACTTCACGAGCCTGCTGAGACTGCGCAGCAGGCTCCCGCCCTTAGGAAGCCGTGGAAGCGCCCATTAACTTGCAGTGTTACCATTTTCACCACCATTGATTTCTCAAACGATAATTGATGGGCCGTCAGTCATTCCTCTAACCCGCATTTCAGAGGCCTGCCTGCCCCCAGCTCCTCCCCTGGTCCCGAGGAGCCCTGGAGGAGTGACTCAAGCCGTTGGGGGGCCTCTGGTGAAGCTCAGGCTCCCTGTGCCCAGGCTGCCGGAGGGAGGGCAGGGAGTGGCGGGGCGGGCAGCACCGCCCCAGGGGCCGCAGCCCAGCCCGTGTCTGGAGGCTGGCCAGGGCCTGGCAGGGTCTCCCGCTCGGGGCTTCCCGAGTGCGGACGTCTCCCAGCCTTTTTGCGAGGACGTCTTGCTGGTGTTTTCAGATGCAGCCCTTCGATCTCTTGGGAATCACCATCAAGTCTCTGGCAGAAATTGAAAAAGAGGTAAGCAAGCAACCTGCCCAGAGAGGCCCAGCTCCCCCCACCCCACAAGGGGGGTGCCCCTGGGGTCCCTCGTGCCCTGGGGTCTGCTCCGAGAGGCAAGGGGCGTCCTCGTGAGAAAAGCGCCCCCAGAGCTCGCTTTGCTGGGTTTGTTCCTCCGAGTCAAACACGACCTCTCCTCTCCTTCCTGAGCCAGGCGTTAAGTGGCCGACAGGAGGGACCTGCCTCCCTTTATAAACCCACGTGCCTGGCTTAAAGGGGCTCGGGGAGGGAGGGGTGCGGGCAGGGTGGGTTCCACTTGCCTTCCTCCTTCTGCCCTATTACCTGCGCCAGTGGGTTTGGGAAAGGCCTGACTGGGCGGGGGGCTTGGGAGACACCGGGTGGTGATTGCAGGGGCAGACCCGGCCCGCAGCCTGGCTCCAGGCCGTCTGGGTGTTTTCCTGGGAATGAAAGGAAGAAGGGCCGAGCTGGGCAGGGCTGGGGGCCCCCCTGCGCAGCCGCCCCCCCCAGGTGCAGAGCTTGTTAAGCAGCGCCGCGCTGGCAGCCAGCTCTCCTGTGAGAGGGACATTTGTCTCAAAGATGGAAATGGTAGAACCATTTCAATATTCTCAGTTCCTTTGGGTTTTCTCTTGTATACCCAGCTCGCACAAGCAGGCGGCATTATTGAAAGATGGCTGAAATCAAGGAAAATTGAATCAATGTAGTGCAACAAATTTCAAAAGCTGTCATAGCAGAAACAGGACAAAAAAGTCGCCCTCTGTCTTTGATTTTCAGTAAATCACAGAGCCAACCCGATCGTCACGTCTAGGCGGGGGGAGGGCGGGCTGCGCCCTGAGAAACACGCTGTGCGCCCAGAATTCGTGCCAGCTCTCGCGGAAGCCACGGGCGCGCAGGGAAGGCCCTCGGAGCGGCCTGCTCTGGCGGGGTGACCCAGCTAGGGTGGATCAAGGTCAGACAGGCCGGGCCGCGGTCCCTGACCGGGCCGGTGAAGGCCTTCAGGAAGCCTCAGGAGCAATTGTGAAAGTGCCAGCTGGCCAGACACCCCGTGTGTGTGTGTGTAGGGGGGGCGGGGGGCAGCTGTCTGAATGTCTCCCCACCCCATCTTGGGGCTCCCCTGGGCCCCAGGCATAGCCACGTAGCACACCTGTGTGTGCTCAGCCCTGGGCTTTCCCCAGACGCCGGGCCCACCCCGAGCTGGCCTGTGGGGTGTCCTGTCCCCCGTGCCGTGGGGCAGAAGCTGAGGCCCTGGAGGTACTCGCTGTGACAGGACAAGACCCGCGTGTCCCCTCCAAATCCTCCCCGCTGTGACTTGCGCTGTGGGAAGCTGGGGGTGCGGGGGGACAACGGACGTGGAAAGCCAGTGGGTCGCCCCTGGGAAGGCCGCCAAGGCCCCGGATGGGGTGAAGTGGGTGAGGGACGCGGTGTGGAGCCCAGGGCGCAACAGAAACGCCGCAAGCCCGTTCTCTTCCCGGCGCTCAGGTCTGAAACCTGCCCCAGAGCCTGTGCCGTGGGAACCAGAGTCCCCGCTCCGGTCCCGGGGCACAGGCTGAGGCAGCCGCTACGCCACCCGCCAGGACCTTGGTCCTTCCACTTCCTCTTCCGTAAATTCAGGGGCGAAATAAAAATGCTCCCCGCTAGCTTGTGTGGGGCTCAGCTGAGAGTCGGTCAGTGGCTTCGAACAGCACTGCCAGGGGCCTCCACCCGGGGACTTAGCAGCTGCCGTCCTAGGGCCATGCTGGCTTTGGGGTCCCCCAGTTCAGGCTGGGGAGTGAGTCGGGAGCCCCCCAGGGCCACCCAGCCACTCCCCAGCTGACCAGGCCCAGCTTTGTGCCCTGTTTCCGCAGAGGCCTCTGCCCTGCACTGAGGGCTGAAAGCACAGCACGGCCTGCACAGGGCCACTGTGCAGGAAGCGGGTCTCCTTGAACCGGAGGGACGTTCCTGTGGCCACCCCGGTCTCGCAGTGGTGGGTGCCCGAGGCAGGGAGACCCGTCCCCCTCCCCCCACACACACCCCCTGCAGCAGCGCCAGGGACCTTCCCAGCGTGAACTTGAACATGCTCCTCGAGCTGCCGGACCCTGTCCCTGAGGGCCAGGCCAGGGGCAGCTGTGTCCAGCTGGTGACCCTGGTCAGTGCCCTCTGCTTCTGTTTCTTTTGAGTCCTGGGAGGGACGAGGACGGCCGGGAGCGTGAAGCGCTCACTGGGGGTCTGTGCTCTGTAGCCAAACCTCCTCCACCAAAAATGGCCGGCGGCTGCCCCCCGGTTCCGGGGCAGCAGAGGGTCCCTGTGCCCCCGCTGGCCCCTCCAGGTGCCCCCGCTGTGGAGGCAGCTTCCTGCTGGTAGGCGCTTCCTCCCCGACCCTCCCACACCTGAGGGGAGAATGTGGGGGCCCCAGCGTAACAGGCAGCTCGCCCCCTGAGCCAGTGGTTCCGCGTCCAGCAGTCAGACCCAGCAGGTTTGTTGCCCGCGGCCTCACTCTCCCTGCCTGGGTGTTTCTGGTTGGAATCCTGTGCCCTGCCTCCCTCATTTGGCCTTGGGGACAGGTCACTCCATGAACAAAACTCCAACACCCTCCAACTTGTGGTCAGGGACTAAGGGAGCAAATAGCAGTTAGGAGAGCTGGCCCGCCCCCCGCCCCGGGCCCTGCAGGGGACCCAGCTCCCCAAGTTCAAGAATTGCCTGAAGTACTGGCAGATGGAGAAGGCGGTGTGGCTGGGGCATCAGTGAGCAGCCTCCCCGGCAGCCCCCCAGGATCTAACCAACTTGAGGGAGAGTGACCCAGGCCCTGGCAAGCGGGGAGACAGGAAGAGGCTGTCGCCAGGGGCCAGAGCCTGCCGCCTCCTGGCCTGCGGCGCTCAGCCTCGGGGTTGGCTCCGCAGTGTGCTGTGTGGACAGTGGCCACCTTGCGGTGCAGCCAGAAGGACAGTTTCCAGGCAAATGTCAAATTTACTGCCCCGGTTTGAACCCACTGCAAGTGCCTGGCTTCCCTGGCCCCTCCCCCCCCCCAGGTAGGAGTGGGGGCCTTTGGGGGGCCGCACCGAGAGGGACTCCCAGCCCCCATGGTGGGCACCGCGCTGGCGTGTGTGGTGAAGCAGAAGGTCGTGCTTCAAGGTCATGATTAAAGGCCAAGGCCATGCATGGCGCGGGTGAAAGCAGTGTCGTGGAAGGACTTAACCTCTCACCCTCCGAAACGCTCCTCAGCCTTGTGGGCTGTAGGCAGACCAGCAAGAAGCCCTGGGGTCACCCCGTCCCTGCCAGGACCCCCTTCCCGCGACCCTCCCTGGCCCAGTCAGCAGGCGTCCTGCGTCCACTCCGCGGGACCAGCCCTGTGGCCGAGGGTAGCTGCCTCTGGTTAGGACAAAGCGAGGTTTGCTCACCACCACCCCCCGACCCTGAGAGAGTCTGGGGTCTGCCTAGGCTGGGGGGCTTTCTGGCTGGGGCCTGGCCCCTCCCCCGGGCCCCCCTAGGCGAGGCAGTGACCCCCAGGGGCAGATGCCAGGAAGCCGGGTGGCTCCCACCAAGCCCAACAAAATCCGCCTGCCACGGTGGCGTGGTAATTTCGCAGCCAACCCGTGATGAAGCGCCTTTTCCCCGAGTGAGAGGATGGGCATATAAATATTCCCCGTGGCTGCTGCTCTTTATTTCCCTTGTAAGCAGTCACCCCATTTCTCCATCTGATGGATTCCCCTTCGCAGGCTGGGTGGGAGCTCCCCAGCTCGCTGATCGTGCGGCTCCTATATAAAATAGCCTCGTGTGCGGCCTGTTTCTCCCGGGGCCTGCTCCCCTTGACCTCTGCCGCAGGCACCTTGGCCTTAAGCGGGGTGAGCCCGGGGAGGACGCGGCCCGGGCCCGGGAGCGGTGCTCACCCTGCCCTTCAGGGGCGCCACCCTCAAAACCCAGGCCACGCGCCTGCCGGGCTTCCCCACCGCGTGGCCCGGCGAGGCCAACGGCCTCCATTTTCTCTCAGCTTTAAAGCTGAAAGACAAGGGAGAGTCTAATTAGTAAAGGGACGAGCTAATATTAATCACTCCCTTAAAATTGACAAGGGAGTTAGTTCATTTAACCACTTAATTGCTACAGGTTTTTATGGGCTGCTGTTTGCAGACATGTTTAATGAAGAAGTTATAAATCTAAGGGAGCTTAAAAATTTAATTTTATACCTAAATATTTTCCTTGTTCTCGTGTTTGTAGTCAATCCTCAAGAGTGTGGTCACGTGGAATGGTCTTTAAATGAACATATTTGCTCACTGGCGTGATTTCAGTTTTTAAAACATTGGTTCCAGCAATTAGGCATTTTTTTTCAGTTCCCAAATGACTAGAGAAATTCGTCTTGATTATAATTGCTCTTAGCCACGCATATCTAATTTGTGTCTTTTTAAGTGTTAATTAGTAAACAGTTTGAGCTGACATCTTTATGTGTTTGTGTGTTGAAAAATGGGGCTTATTGCTTATTTAGCTTGGGGCCCATTCCGCTAGCATTTACGTCACGACATTGAGGTGAAATTAATGGAAACGCACTTGGCAGCGCGAGGTGAAAGGAATTTTCAAATTCAACTTTTGGACTTGTGCTTTGCGAGGGCTTCGGAAGGATACCGGATTACAGTAGATTTGGGACCAGCATATTGCGGGAAGAAAGGGAGAAAATTTTCGTATCAGTAATGAAATGGCAGAGTCCCAATTTTATAAAAGCAGAATGTTCATATCCCAGCACAATTGTTCATTCTTTCTACTTTTTGGAAAGCTTTCATTGTGCCTATTAATGTTAAAGAATTTTGTAGCAGGAGATGTGGCAAAATGCGTGGTCCCTGTGCACCACCTAGTGGTCAGATCGTGAACTGCAACAGGAAATAAGGCGCCCCACAGTGCTCTCTGGACTGTCTATGGTTTCGCCATCCAGAAGCATAATCGCCCTTTACTTTTCAGTCAAGAAGCTGATACTTGGAGGAAAGAAATCTGCTTCATTTGTGGAAAAAGCTAAGTAAACAGCAGTTAATCCGTTCTCCCTG